TTTGATGTGAATCATATCCGAATTAGTTTCTACCCAGGCATAATAGATTATCTGGGGGGAAAAGTGACATGTTACTATGAGAAGAGGAAAGTATAATTGCGCAGCAATTCTACAGACAGTACTGTTACTTATCAAGTTTGAAAAAGTCTTAACAGTATTTAATTTGGAATAATTAACCAAGTTATGGTATATTTGTGAACAAGTAGATACTAAAATGTTTTCTTCAAAGAAGTGCAGTAATTTATTATCTTAATGGCCCCATTAAAATAATTATTTCTCTTAGGTTATGATTAAATATACTTCTCATTGTTCAGCATAAACAACCTGGTATTTATTCACTCTCCCTATATTTACCTTTTAGCTCCTTTTTTTTCTTCAGGCATTGATTTGCCCTTTTAGGACCAGGTTTTCAGCAAATTAATCAAAAGACTAGTTAATACAATCATTGTTGTTAAGTGAAAGTACTTTCTGGAGCCATTAGGTGACATAAAGGCTAACATGGAATATGTGTTCATGTAAAAAATGCATTAACCAATGAAATTATAAATTAACTTTTTGTAATTTTGTTTTTCTTATTGAATTACCTGGACTTACTTTTTTATTTTACTTGATTACCTCTTTTTGCTAGATCTGTAATAATTGTATTTATATTGTTGCCAACCTGAGCCAGAGGATTATTCTATAGTGTATAGAATTTATCAAGACATTTTTACCATAAAAATGAAACCCAAATTAAGCTTAAACAACCACACTGTGTACCTTCAAAAACAATAAAATTTCTGAAATTTGTACATACTCTAGTACAGTTAAAATTTATAAAAGAATTTAGTGCCAAGTAGAAATAGCTTTTCCTTAGATTCTGTAAACTGTTAGTTGTTTTTGTTATTAAATGAACAGTTTCCAAAAATTTAATATGAATTGACCCCTTTGTTAACTTATCCAGGAAAGCTTCACAGGGAGATAAAGATTTCAGAAAATGTTTTTATAAAACTCAAATCTTAAACATTTATTTTTACCATTTATTGTATTTTTAGTCTTTTATGTTTGTTCTATTACTTTTCAAGAATATTACGATATCATTTAGATTATTTCTTAAACTTGTGACTTGTAATTTTTATATATTAAAGGTTTTTATCATTCCATAGAAAATTTTTATTCAAACTTTAATGCAATTCTGAGCAGAATTCGTATCTAAATTAATCATATTAACTTATGGATTGGCTCTGTTTTTTGAAACTTGGGATCCCCAAATCTTTAGTCATGATCAAAATTTTCAAATTACTTCTTTTTGTTAAATTATAAATTAGTAGTATATTTACCTTTATAAAAAACTATATATATAATACAATTAGTTAATCTTTCCTTGGGTATACAATGAAATAAGTACCCAGACAAATACTCCTTTATTTACTTCTAAAAGCTTTAATATTCTTTTATTCTAGGGAATAATGCTTCGATAAATATAGAAGTAGACCCCAGGCATCCTACTATGCTTCCTGAGTGCTGTTTTCTTGGAGCTGACCATGGTATGAGATCTCAGGTTTAAATATTTTTAACAGAATTATAAAATATTTGTCTACCACTGTAGACAAATAATTAATTGTAATTACATATTATAATTAAATATTAATTGTAATTAAATATTCTAATATATTAATGGTAAACATCTTAAATGAAAATGTCTCATTGTGAACTGTGTACTTCTGTGTTTTAATATATAATATATATGATTTAGATTTTCTAATCACGTACTTAGGAAACAAATCCTGTAATTAACAAATATTATGTATATTTCAAAGTTGCTAATAGATTAGATCTTAAAAGTTTTCATCAAGAGTAAAAATCTTTGTAACTGCATGATAGATGTTAACTAAACTTGTAGTCGTTTTGCAATATATACATATACCAAATCACTATGTTGTACACCTAAATCTGTAATACAGTGTTATCAATTATAGCTCAATAAAAAGAGACAAATTCTGTGCCAAATGTGACTTTACAAAATGACAGCAGCAAACCCTAAATTATTAAACTTTTTTTTTTTTTTTTTAAATATTTGAAGTGGTAAAACCCCTGGGAATTAGGCTGAGCAGAAACATACATTTGTGGTAGGTATCTTTGCAATATAATTGTTACTTTTCTACGATTTTACAAATTTAATAACAGGTTTTTTTCATGTTTTCAGGGATCCAGAAAATAGCCTGTTACAAAATTTGAAAGACGTTTTAGAAATTGATTTTCCAGCTCGTGCTATCCTGGAAAAATCTGTAAGTCTTATCAGTGCTTTGATATTCCAAATAGTGTTGTATAATGAGAGTCAAATGTTCTTTTAGGCACCAGAGAAAAATGAGGCTGAAAGGGAAGGAATTGGAAGAATATTATAATGGACTTCTGAACTGCAAGTGGCAGTTGCATCAAAGAACTTGTTAACCTTTGATTGGTGGTTATAAGTGTACTTTTTTCATGGTCATTGTAGCAGTAAAGTGATTAATGACATCTTTATTATTAAAAATAGGGGAAAGGTCCAATGTAGCTAATGAGATGTTTGGATTTTCTATACTATCTGCTTATGGATGACTGAAATAAAGTTCTAATTAGCTTGAAACAAGTGTTTGTGAAGGTTGGCAGCATAGTTTTTCAAAATTGAATAGACACTACTACACTGCAAAAATAAACTAAGAATTGATTTTTGACAAAGCTGCTAAGAATGTAGACTACTAAAGTGGTGGGGATGTTTTTGTCTTTTTCCTTTAGTTGCAGAATTTTGAAGTTTAGTATAATCACCAGCTAATGTCAGTTCCTGTCTTTGCATACTGCAGTGGCATTATACTGATGTACACAGTGGGAATATTACTTAAGCCCAAAACATCTTGTGAGCCAAAAGTAGAATCTGCTTTTTGGTATATGTATATTATTTATTGGATGAAAAAGGCAGCTGTCTCTTACAGATAGCTTTTCTAAGGTGTTAAATAGTGATGTGACTGTATTTTCTGTAACAGCAATATAGTTACCTTTATAAAAATTTAATAGTATCTAATACCATATTATTCACTTTTTAATTTCACCTTGTGTATTCTTATAAATATTTCTTTTTTCCCACCACCCCATCCCCCAATATTTCTTTTCTCTTGAAGGATTTTTCTATGGATTGTGGAATTTGTTATGCCTATCAACTTGACGGTGCAATTCCTGATCAAGTGTGTGATAATTCACAGTGTGGACAGCCTTTCCATCAAATATGTTTATATGAGGTAAAAATAAAAATATCAGTAAGACTAACAGCATAGGAAATATGCATATTTGAAATCTAAACAATCTAAAATCAATAGTGATCTTTTATTGCCTTTAACAGTTCCTTTAACAGTTCATTCCAAATGTGTATTTTATTTCTTCGTGGTTACTAATGAATTTATAAATGTCCTAAAGTATCCAAGAAGTGGGAAAATGTATCTAGCATATACTCATGGACTGTTTATTGATGCATAACAAATTAAACTGATGAAACATTGGAATCTTTCTGTAAATATCTCATGTAACCACAATGCAAACTCTGTAAACTCATCCGAGTAGGAGTAATGGTGGCAATAAGGTGAAAGGGAGCTAGTACTGTAGAGTACCTATTACTTTTTCAGGCTATATTTAAGTATAGAATAAATGTAATAATCCTACTTTCGATATTGAGAAGAATGCATTTTATGATCTAAATAACTCACAACACTCTTAAGTCAATGACACTTTATTTACTGTATACATGAGAAGTCTGCTTTCCTTCCTGTCTGCAGTCACTTGCTCTCTAGCACTCATCTTAGGGCACAATGGACATATGACTAACCGTATGTGCATCTATATACAAAATGACTTGCAGCTTTCAGTTTTTAAAAACTTCCTTTGGTATTACCTCCTGATTTTTGTGATCAGAGATAGCAGCTGGTGCTAGTGGCAGTTTAACAGTGGAGAATTTAGGTAGAGATGTTAATTTACCTTATATAAAATCATAAAATACTAGGTCTAATTATAGAGATACTCTTAAGGGAACATGTGCTTTCTTTTGTAATAATGAAAATTCATTTAATTTTTAAAAATGGATTGCCTCCTGCTTGTAATTAATGGATTGAGAATTAACCCTACTATTGGTGATTAAGATCAGAATTAAGACCTAAATTTTAAAGAGCCTAGGATATCTTTTATAGCAGGAGTTCTTAATTTGTGATTAATGGATTTAGGGAGGGTCTGTGAACCCCATGGAGTTATTTTTGTGTACATCTGTTTTGGGGTAGAGAAGGTGCATACTTTTTATCAGATTCTTAAAGGGGCCTATAATTTGCATATAAATCAGTGGTATAGACCTTGAAATCCATACTGGTTTCCCCTTGTTATTCAGCATTTTAGTAGTTTGGTATTGGCTCAGGAGATGTTCCTCTTACTCTTGCAAAAGAAAATTAAGAAGGCAAACCATCTGGCATAAAAATATAATGCACTCAAAAAGAAAAATTTATTTGGAGTACCTGTAATATGTAATCATGTTGACACTGCTCCCTTTCTTCTCTTTTTAAAATCTTCAGTGGTTGAGAGGACTACTGACTAGTAGACAGAGTTTTAACGTCATATTTGGTGAATGTCCATATTGTAGTAAGGTAAGCAAATTATTAATCACATTTCATAAAATGTGCCTAGCTTTTAGTAATATATTTTAGAAGATAGCTGTATAGTATATCAGCGTATATAAAATTTTTGGAAACATCTATGTATTTAAAAAAATTTTCTAAGATAAATTGTCCCTATTAACATTTTAATTTTCAGATTTCTCCTTTGATCAAAAAAAAGTTAACCCCTTTTCTAGATTTCCTAGGTGATCTGAACCTTAAAAAGTATTTTCAAAACTCTGTCATTACACCATCTCTAATATAAAGCATTCCTCTTTTTATAAGCCACTTACCTTGAAAATGTCTGGGAGAAAAGCCTGAAATAAGAATGCAACATTTCTGTGAAGAACTGGAAACTTAAATTAGCAAAAGGATTTTATTTGATATCTTTAGAGAAAATATAAAGCAAGACATACTAATATCAAAAGAAGAAGAATGGTGAAGCCATAATAATATACATCTGCCTTTATCTCTTCACTAAGAGTAAACTGGGAAATTGTAAGCCAAAATCCTGTAGAACTATCTAATTCTGTGACCTCCATACCAGTTGTAGAAGTGTACGTGTAGCAAGATGGAGAGCTTGACTTGTTGAACATATCTGGACTGGTAAAATCTTGATGGGGTTCATAAAATGAATTAGGGAACTGTATACAGCTGGATTTTTGTGGAGAACTTTTTACTCCATTCAGAAATTCTTGAGACTCACAGTGTTTTTGTCTTCTCCTTGTGCTTTCCTATGAGAAAATACATATGTTTGTTAGGTTTGAGTTATCCAGGTGTTTATTTTGTGTACTCTATAAGAATGCTAAATAAAATTTGTTACACAAGATCAAGTTTTTGTGTGCTTTTTATTTTTCCTGAGAAGTTATTTTTAGGTTCTTGATTTTAAGTGTTTATAAAGTACTTACCAGCATCAAACGACCAAATCTGGTTAATTTGATTGATTGGTTCTTTTAAACCAAGAAGTAGGCTATTTCTTAAATAATTTATCATCTAAAAATAGGATAGAATATGAAAAAATGAATTTTTTGGCAAGAAAAAGAAACAGGCTTAATCTTATGGGGATAAGACAGTAATAATTAGAAGGACTTTTGGTCGGTAATAATTAAAGATACTAGAAGTACTGGAGCAAGATGATGGTGGTGCAAGTGCTGTGCACCCACAGACTGGCCTTAGTTAGTGGCCTGCCCCCTGTAGCCTCCTGCCAGAGCACCAGAGATTGACTGACATCTTCCCATAACAGACCTCGAGAAGACAGCTGGTAAAAATCTTTATTTGTCCGGAAGCTTATCTAAGAAAAGATGCTCACCCTAAACTCCTAAGCAAAAAGGAATCAAGCAGTTTATACAAATTTCAGTTTCACTGTGTCAGAAGAGATGTCTTGAAGGCTCTTTAGCTTTTCCATTAAAAAGAAATAAATTATTGAGATAACTATAAACTACTCTTTACTGCCTGAGAGCTAACAAAGTCACATGAATGCAATTTTCCTAAAGTTTTGTCAGCTTAATTCACTAAAGGCAAAATGAGTTAATGGTTACTCCAATAGGCCCATAAAGCATTGTTCTTGCACAAAGAAAAAGAAATACACCATCAAATCATATTTCTAAAGGCTGAGAGCCACAAGCAAGCTAACCTAAACTGCATTTACATATAAGTTACATGTAGAAGTGGATGATCTAGTTAATCCCCGTCTAGGTAAGAACAGAAGTCAAACTACTAAAATTTCAAGATAGAATCATCTCTTGTGCAACCTAAATACCTTACCTCTCTTTAAGCAACAAATGATGTCAAATGGGAAGGCACTCATCAAAGGATTTAACCACCAGCCGTCTTCAGTTTACTGAGAGCTGTGATTGGGAGAGACAGTCTGGCTAGGGTTGGAAAACTGTGGCTCATTGGCTAGCTGCCTGTTTGTGAGTAAAGTTTTACTGGTACATAGCCCTACTGACCACCATTGCCTTGCATTAAGCAAGGGACAGCAAAGGGGCAGCAGCTCACAATCCTCCTTACTAGAAAACATCAGTCTTAGTAATTAACAGAGAACTACTAGATGAAAACAGCAAGGTTAGATCACACAAACCAATGGGATCTAACTGATATTTATAGAGCATTCCACCCCAAAACAGAAGAGTACATGTTCTTTTCGATCGCAATTGGAATATTCACCAAGATAGACCGTATCCTGGGGGTTATGTAATAAACCTTAACAAATACAAAATTATACAAAGCATGTTCTCAGATAATAATATAAATTAGAAATCAGTAATAGAAAATCTTTAAACATTTGGAAATTAGACAACACACTTCTAATAACCAAGACATCAAAAGAAGTCTCATGGGAAAGTACAAAATTAAAATACAATATATAAGGATTTACGGGATGCAGTTAAAATGGGACTTAGTAGGTCATTATAGCATTCAATGCTTATATTAGAAAAAACAGAGGTTTCAAATCAGTAGCCTAATCTTCCACCTGAAATAGAAAAAGAAAAGGAAAATACACCTAAATCAAGCTGAAGGAAAGAAATAACAGGAGAATCTTCAAACATTTGAAAAATTTTAAAAACTCCAGAATGGGTCAGAGACCCAAGGGAAACTTAAAAATATATTGAACTGAATGAAGATGAAAACGTATCAAAATATATGGGACATGGCTAACACAGTGTTAGAAGGAAAATCTCTAATACTAAATACTTATATTAAAAAAGAAGTCTCAATTCAATAACTGAGGCTTGTTTCTACCTCAAGCAACTAGAAAAAGAGAAAATAAATACATAGCAGAATGAAGGAAATAAAAATAAGAGCAGAAATCAATGGAATTGACAAAACAAAAATAGAGAAAACTCAAACAAAAGCTGGCTCTGTGACCAATAAAATTGATAAACCTGACCAAAAAAGAGAGAAAACTACTGATACTTGGAAAGAAATATTACTATAGGCTTCAATCCCATTTAGAGAATTTAAATAAAGGAATACTATGAACAGTTCTACAAATAAAAATATAACAGCTTGGACAAAACAGACCAATTCTTAGAAAAGCACAAATTATCAAAAATAACTCAAGATGAAATAGATTAGGGGGTGGTAAACTGTGGTCTGCAGGCCAAATCCAGCTCAACACCTGTTTTGTAGAACCTGCCACCTAAGAATGGTTTTTACATTTTTAAATGGCTGGAAAAAATACTTTGTGACACCTGAAAATTACATGGAATTCAAATTTCACTGCCATAAGTGTTCTGCTGGAACTCAGCTATACTCATTTGTTTACCTATTGTATATGATGCTTTTGCACTACAATGCATAGTTGAACAAAAGAGAGACTATATGACTTGTAAAACCTAAATATTTACTGTCTGGCTCTTTATAGGAAAGTCTGTCCACTCTTGAAATAGATAATCTGAATAGTCTTAGTAAAGAACTTGAATTCATAGTTAAAAAAGGAAAAGAAATCTCTAGGCCCAGACGGTTTCACTGGAGAATTCTCTAAAACATTTAAAAAGAAACACTAATTCTATTCAATCTCTTCCAGAAATTAGAAGATGTCTCAACTCATTTTATGAAGCATTACCTGATTCCAAAACCAGAAAAAGACAATAAAATAAAAAGAAAACTACAGACCAACAGTCTTCATTAGAGATGTAAAAGTCATCAACAAAATACTAACAAACTGAACCCAATGACAAATGAAAAGAATAATACGCCATGACCAAGTGGGGTTGACTCAAGGAATATGAGTGTTTCAATATTCACATATCAATCAGTGTCATCCACCATGGTAACAGTATAAAGGTGAAAAATCATATGGTCATATTAATAGATATAAAAAAGCATTTGACAATATTCAACACCCATTCATAATAACTCTCAATACACTAGAAATGGAGGGGAACTTCAACTTGATAAAGAACATCTACCAAAAATCTACAGCTAACGTCATACTAAATGGTGAAAGGCAAAAAACTGGAAGAAACTCATATGTTCTTCAACACTACATCCATACCTCAGAATACTACCTAGCAATAAAAAGGAATGAACTATCAATAGATGCAAAATTTGCATGGATCTCACGGGTGTTACGGTGAAAGAAAGCCAATCTCAACAAGTTACATAGCGTATAATCTGATTTATACTGACATGCTCAAAATGACAAAACTATAGTGATGCAGAAAAGACCAATGCTTTCCATGGTTTAGGACTGGGGAGACAGTGTCACTATAAAGCAAAATGAATAAAGTTACCATTATCAGGAATGGATAAAGAAGACATTAAAAGTATAACGAGAATATCATGAACTACACAGTGCTGACAAATTTGACAAGTTAAATGAAATGGACAAATTCCTTGAAAGATCAAATTACCAAAACTGACACAAGAAGAAAAAGAAAATCTAATAATCACTATTATCTGTGATAGAGAGTAAATTCATAATTTGAAATTTTACTACAACAAAACTCTAGTCCTAGATAGTTTTCTTTCTAAACTGTCATTTTTATGAAAGGCAAATCTTACTGAGACATTTTCTGAAAATAGACACTTCCCTCTAATGTAACATCTAATGACTGGAAAACAGAACCATACAAGGATATTGAGAGAAAAGAAAATTTACCAACCACTATCTCTCAACAATGTAAATATAAAAATCCATAACGGAGAAATAGCAAATTGAATTCAGTATGACAACACATCATGACTAAATGGAATTTATTCCAGAAATAAAATGTTAACATTCAAAAATCAATGCAATTCATTATACTAGTAAAGGTGAAAAATCATATGATCATCTCGACACATCCCCCAAAACAATACCCATTCATGACTAAAATTTATTCTTCAACAAACTATAAATACAACGAAATTTCCTCAGCCTGATAAAGTGTATTTAGGAAAAACCTACAGCTAACATCATACTTAATGGTGAAAGAATGAATGCTTTCCCCCCTAAGATTAGGAACAAGGATGCCCACTCATTACTATATTGTCAGTATAGTATTAGAGGTCCCAGCAGGTGTAATAAGACATGAAAGGAATAAATCAAAGGCATACATGTTGGAAAGGAAGAATACTCTGTTTACAGACAACATGATTGATGATGTAGAAAATCCTAAGAATACAAAAGAACTACTAGAACTAATCAGTGAATTTTAGGAAGATCCCAAGACACAAGGTCAATATACAAAATCAATTTTATTTCTATATACCAGGAACAAATAACTGGAATATAAAATTTTTGAAAAAATGACATATACAATAGGATTAAAAACCAAAATATTGAGAAATACTTTTAATAGAAGATGTATAGGATATCTACACTAAAAACTACAAAACATTGTTCAAAGAAACAAATAGTCTCAGGTTCATGCACTGGAGAACTCAATGTTGTTGGGATTTCATTTCCCTTTAAACTGATCTTTAGATTTAGTGTAGTCCCAATTAAAATCCCATTGTGCTGTTTAGTGGGAACTGACAAGGTGATTCTTAAATTTTATGGAGGGGACCAGGAACTAAAATGGCCATGGCATCTTTGAAGAAAAGAAAGGGGTTGAAGGACTTAAACTACCTAATTTCAGAACTTGCTGTAAATCAAATCTTTTTAAGAAATGGTATTGGGGTAACTGGCTTTCAATATGGAAGGAACCTCAACCCCTATCTCACACCATACCCAACTGATTTGAGATGGCTCATAGACCCAAATATGAAAGCTAAAACTATAAGCCTTCTAAAAAAATATATAGCAAAATAACTTTGTGACCTTGAGATAGGCAAAGATTTCTTTACAGAAAAAAATAATAAATTGATAAACTGAATTTCAAATAAAAACAAATACTTCCTGCTCATCAAAGACACTGTTAAGTAAATGAATGGGCAGGCTGCACACTAGGAGAACATATCCACAATACAGACATTGGACAGGAGACTTATATGTGGAATATATAGAGAATTCCTACAAGTTAATAATAGAAAGACAATCATTCAAATAAAAATGGATAAAACTTGAAAAGACACTTCACAAAAGAAGGTATATGAATGGGCAGTCAGCACAGGAAAAGGTGCTCACAGTTATTGGTCATCAGATAAAGATAACTGGAATCACCACGAGATACTAATATACACACGTTGACTAAAATTAAGACCGACAAACACCAAATGGTGGGGAGGAGGTGTAAATATATGAATGGGCAGTCAGCACAGGAAAAGGTGCTCACAGTTATTGGTCATCAGATAAAGATAACTGGAATCACCACGAGATACTAATATACACACGTTGACTAAAATTAAGAC